CTGTTTTTGGTTGTTTGATCTAAATGAATCCACTTAGCCATATTCCAGATATGGGGTTGCATTTTCTCAGCAAGTGAATTTGTCACAAATCTGTGCTGAAGAAGGCATTTTCTAACGGTAAGTCAATTCAGCAGAGTGACTTCAGATTGCCAAAGTCACATTCAACAGACCTTACTTTATACGATGCAGAGACCTATAGGTGAAGTAAATACTTACACTTCTGGTCAACTTACCCACTTTTAAAAGCCCAGTCTGTACTGCCATTCCAATCCATTGTTTTGTTCAGTTCACAACTTGATGTTGGTAGATCAGAAAGTAGGGACAAAATCTGAGTCAAGTCCCATTGCTGATTTCTGTGCTGTCTGATACAAAATTAACTGGACTTGGCAGATTTGACAACATTTAATACATATTTATGATTTTAAACCTGTCTTAGGAATCTAACAATGGGATTTTTTTGTTGTTTTTTTCTTGAGACGGAGTCTGTCGCCCAGGCTGGAGTGCAGTGGTGCAGTCTCAGTTCACTGCAACCTCTGCCTCCCAGATTCGAGAGATTCTCCCTCTTCAGCCTCCTGAGTAGCTGGGATTATAGGCGCCTGCCACCACACCCGGATAATTTTTGTATTTTTGGTAAAGACAGGGTTTCACAATGTTGGCAAGGCTGGTTTCCAACTCCTGACCTCAAGTGATCTGCCTGCCTCGGCCTCCAAAAGTGCTAGGATTACAGATGTAAGCTACTGCACTCAGCCATTCTTTCATTCATTCATTTAGAGACAGGGTCTTGCTGTGTTGCCCAGGGTGAACGCAATGACACCATATCACAGCTCACTGCAACATCAACCTCCCTGGCTCAAGTGATCCTCCTACCTCAGCCTCCCAAGCAATGGGGACTACAGGTGTGCACCACCATGCCGGAATGTTTTGTTTTTATTTTTTAGAGATGGGGTCTCACAATTTTGTCGAGGCTGGTCTCCAACACCTGGATGCAAGTGCTTCTCCCACCTTGGCCTCCCAAAGTGCTGATATTACAGGTGTAAGACACTATGCCCGGCCAAAAACCTCTTTTGAGACGGAGTTTTGCTCTTGTTGCCCAGGTTGGAGTGCAATGGCGTGATCTCAGCTCTCTGCAATCTCCGTCTCCCGGGTTCAAGTGATTCTCCTGCCTCAGCCTCCCAAGTAGCTATGATTACAGGCATGCGCTAGCATGCCCTAGCATGCCCAGCTAACTGTATTTTTAGTAGAGACGGGGTTTCCCCATGTTGGTCAGGCTGGTCTCAACTCCCGACCACAGGTGATCTCCCCTCCTTGGCCTCTCAAAGTGCTGGAACTACAGGGGTGAGCCACCACGCCCGGCCATACTAAAGATTTTTGTAGGAAGTTAGTGTAGTGGGAAAAGCGTGGGAAACTCGAAAGTCATTTTCTTTCAAAGCTTAAATATAAATTACATTATTGGACAGTCTGTCATAATGTTATGAAAATGTCAATTTTCTCCAAATTAACCTCTGACTTCAATATAATTACATGTAGTATTACGGCAGGCCTTGGTGGGAGATTGCAAAAACATCCTAAAGTATATTCATTTGGAAATACTGAATTTCAAAGAATTCTGAAAACACTGCCAAGAGGGAATTCAACAGATAAGTTGCACCCTAAGCCATAGTAGTAAATAATAGATGGAGTAACAGAAGGATCAGAATAGATAGTTCAGAATCTAGCTCACCTACTATGGGAATTAGATACTTGATTTTTTTTAAAGTGGCTTCAAAAATTACTGGGGAAAGGATAGGTAAGCAGGTAGTGCTGACCAAACTACACTTTGGAGAGAAAAGTGGATTTGGATCTTTACCTCACGCTAGTACAGAAAAATTGCTTGAGAGTAAAGCATTTTTTACGTTTTTGTTTTGTTTTGTTTTGTTTTTTACTATAAGCCTGAGAGCAATGGGGAGCATCTTGGGACTAGGGAAGTTTGTATTAAGACTTCTTAAAATGCAAACCATAAGGTGAAAAATTTATGGATTTTATCACTTCGTAACCGTCATGAGATCGGATCAAGCAGGAACCATCAATGGATGCTAAATCTAGAGAGAATTTTTGTTTTTTGTTTTTTGTTTTTTTTTCTTGAGACAGAATTTCGCTCTGTCACCCAGGCTGGGGTGCAGTGGCCGGATCTCAGCTCACTGCAAGCTCCGCCTCCCGGGTTTAGGCCATTCTCCTGCCTCAGACTCCCGAGTAGCTGGGACTACAGGCGCCCACCACCTCGCCTGGCTAGTTTTTTGTATTTTTTAGTAGAGACGGGGTTTCACCGTGTTAGCCAGGATGGTCTCGATCTCCTGACCTCGTGATCCGCCCGTCTCGGCCTCCCAAAGTGCTGGGATTACAGGCTTGAGCCACCGCGCCCGGCCTAGAGAGAATTTTTGACGAAGAGTAAGTACCTGCATAACCTTAAAGTGCCTCCCCACAGAGTGCTTATTGCAAGAGGAAAACTACCTCTACGTTGGAGGAACAGCCAATGGAGAGAAAATTATTGTATCCATGTTAAACTTACTTAAATTGGTAATTTAGTATGTGTAATAGAACATAATCTTAGGAAACACACATGGAAGTACTTGTAACTTACTCTCAAAACAATTGATTAAAAAATAGGGCAATATTATAAATGGAGTAAACATGTTAATAGGATTTTCTCATAAAAATTAAGGAAAATTGTACCAATCTTAAAAAGCTTAGTTGGCTAGGATAAAATATTTGCAACATTTAAACCGGAAATTAGAATACAAGAAACGAAATCAACCAGAGTAGCCCAGTGGAAAGGTGGGCAAGGATTCAACAGGCAATTTACAGAAGGGTAAACCAGATAGAATGGCTAATCGTTTTGTGCAGATCTTGAGAACAGTGCCAAGCGAGGAAAAACAAATAGAATGATAGCTTTTATGCCATATCATTTATATACATTTAAAATACATGCATATCTTCACAACAGTATTTCAACATTGCAGCTGCAAAGATATCAGAGGAGGTGTTTATAATTAGGGAGAGGAATGGAAAGTAAAAAGACCCCAAAAATAGAATAAAAGTAGAGAGGGATGCTACACACACGTGTCCATGAGCTCAAGAGTTGGATGAATTAAACTCACCAAAGGTCCCTAAGATAAAGAAGGAGAAAGTGACAGCTCCCACGCTCTTATTTGGCTTAATCTCTGTGTTCAGTTTTCATGACAGCTCGGTACCAGCCCCAACCTGCTCGCTCTCCTACTCATTTATGTTTAAACTTTGCTGGCTTTCTCACCACACTCAAACCCTACTCCCAGCACACGTTTGGGCGTGTCAGGAACACGTTCATCAGTAATTTTTTTTGTGCCACAAAGGGACTGTTAGCCAGCTTTGGCCAAGAGTAAAGGTGCCCATTCCTGAGAGTTTCAGCTTCACATTAAAAAAAAAAATTAGGTATAATTAAGAGACCATAAAATTCACCCGCTTAAAATGTACGATTCAATAGTTTTTAGTATACTTAGTTATGCACTCACCATAATCCTAGAACATTTTCATCCAGAAAAGAAAACCTGTACCCATTATTCAGCTTCATTTTTAATCGTGTGTATGTCCCCCCAGGGGTGGTAATAAAACGTTCAGGCTCGTCACCTTCCAACAAGAAAAACGTGCAGCCTGGGGCTCCATGGGAACGGGTTATCACTTGGCAGGCCTGGGTAAACAGGAGGCTTGAGCTGGCCCTGCCAAGATGTCTTCTTCAATGTTTTTGAAAAGATAGTAAATGTGCATGGCAGTGGTAAAAGTGCCTACTTGGGAGGCAACACGTTTAGCAGTTTCTTGTGTGTCTTCTCGGAGAGAGCCTCCCCACAGAGGTTTTTTGTTTTGTTTTGCTTTTGAGACAAGGTCTCTGTTGCCCAGGCTGGAGTGCAGTGGCGTGATCATGGCTCACTGCAGCCTCAACCTCCCAGGCTCAAGCGATCCTCCCGCCTCAGCCTCCCGAGTAGCTGGGACCACAGAAGCCTCGCCATGCCCAGCTAATTTTTAAATTTTTTTTGTAGAGACAGGGGTCTCGAACTCTTTAGCTCAATCCGCCCGCATCAGCCTCCCAAAGTGTTGGGATTACAGGCGTGAGCCACCACGCCCGGCCTCATGGAGGTTTCAGTCAGCATTATTTACGCCTCAGAAGAGGAAACAAATTGGCTGCGGAGTGGGGTGTGGTTGAAAGGCCTAGGTCGGCCTACGGCGCGTGCAGCTGCCTTTTCGTTGAAGGTCGACTCCAGTAACCTGCTGCTGTCCCTCTCTGGGTGACCGCACGCTGAGGGTGGGGCGTCACTAAACACTGATTACCCGTGCGCCTCGAAAACTGGAACCTAACTGTGCTTGGAGGGCGGGTCCTCCGGCGTCTGCACGGGTGGCACTGGCCCAACTGGCACCCACCTGTGGGCCTAGCCAGAAATTGTTTCCAAGGCTGCATTGCTGAGTTTGCATGCAGACACCCAGTGTGTGTAAACGTGTGCGTACTGAGCATGTATGTGCGCGTTGTGTGCTCTGTGTTCACACATTGTGTTAGGATGTGTGCACGGTGAGAAACTGCACCCCACATCTATACATGCTTTGAGTGTATCTGCACTGTGTGAGAAGGTGCATTTATGCTGAGTGTGCACGTTGTGTGTGCATGTTGCATGTAAGCATCGTATGAAGAATTGTGTGCGTACGCACGCCTTCTGTGTGTGCACTGTGTACAGCAGTGTGTAAGGACGCGTGCACGCCCGTACGCGCTGAGGACTGTTGTGCACATTCCATGCACACGCTATGCGCGCTCGACGTGTGAGAACCGGTGAGCATGTCGCACAAGCACGCCCTGCGTGCGCCGTGCGTGAGAACCGGTGTGCCTTTCGCACGTGCACGCCCTGCGTGCGCCGTGCGTGGAACCGGTGCGCCTATCGCACGTGCACGCCCTGCGTGCGCTCTGCGTGGGAACCGGTGCGCTTATCGCACGTGCCCGCCCTGCGCGCGCGCTGCGTGAGGACGCGTGCGCATGCGGACGCGCGCGGGTTCGGTGCGGCGCGGCGGGCTTGGCAGTGCGCCTGTGCGGCCGGCGCATCCCGATGGAGCGCGGCGGCGGCTTCGGGACGGGATCCCGGCCTGAGGGGACTGCGCGGGGAACCTCTCTCCCAGGGAAGATCGCAGAACCGGGAGCGGTGCGGACCTCTCAACCCAACTACAGGCCTCAAGGTATCCTCCCCAGAGTGTGGCGGGCGCCCGAGGGCTTCGGGTTCCTGTGGAGGGGGGTGGGGGGGGCGGGCCCGACGGCCCAGGGCAACGGTCCTCGAGCGTGGGGGGAAGGGGCATGGCGCAGAGCTGAGATAAATGCCCTTTCACCGGCCCGGGATCGTCTGGACGTGCATCCAAGGGCCGCACCCCTCTCTGTGCGAGTGGCGGGGTTCTTTCTTGGGGCGACCTGGGTGAGTGGGTACACATGGGGGGTGGCTTAGGGTGGGCGGCAGGTGTATTTGGGATGGAGGTGCCTGAGGGGGGGCTGGGGGTCCAGTCCTCGTCCTCGAGGAGCAGTCGGCATGGGGGTCGTTAGGGTAAACCGAGCGGGCTTCTGGGGTTGCCCCGGCCTCCGCGCGCGCCCTGCGTTCTGGGAAACGCGCGCGAGCGCCACTGCAGCCCGCGGGGAAGGTGGCCCAGCTTCGCGCCTCTTGGCGTTCCCAGGGGGCAAAATCGGCGTGTCACCCGTTGGCAGAAGCAGATTAGCCTGGGCGGCCAGGCGTCTGCCCAGGACCGGGTGCTCCTCCCGCCCGGATGCGCTCCCTGTGGTCTCGGGTATGCTGCTCAGGTGACCCGGCCGCGGCCCCCTCTCGAGGCAGCGGGGCAAACAAGGTTCTCAGTCCTCCAGGCTGCAGATGTTGGAAGCCATGGAGGGCTGGTCCCTGGCTGCCCAGAAGCCAGCGAGGCAGTGGGGGAGACTGTGAGGACATTTGACAGGATTTTAGATAAGCAGGTCTGATGCTAACGTTCTGTAAAGTGGTTGCAGGTAGTGCGGGGGTGTAAGCAGCATGGAAACCGATTTCATGCTGTTTTTCCTGACAACATCTTTTTTCTTTATTTTTAGTTAATAATGCAGGCTATTTTTAAAACATTTTTTACTGCAGTCTAACATGCATTAAAAAAACCGCACAAAACTTTGATTCGATGAATTATCACATAGTGAAGATGGGAGTATTTTATATATGATAGGCCAAGAAAAGGAAAGAAATCAAAAGAAATGTTCTTAAAATATGCTTTTTCACGGGGTTGTGGGGGCGAGGGGTATTTTCTGATTGGGCCTTCAGTTGCATCATTCATAGAAGGAGGAGATAGCTTAAATCATTTCCAGTTCGTGTTTTTCATTATGCTTTTTTAAAGGCAGAATTCATTAACTGTCACAGGATAACGTTATAACTACCTTTGAAATGTGTGCTTTTGTTTTTATCCTTTTTGCTTGAAACACTCAAGCTGCATCTGCTAGGGAAGAACCTGGAAACTACCCACCAGAACGACCCTCCCTGGCAGAGGCGACCTTGTATAATAAAACATTGAAAAGGAGAGGTTGTTTCAGTTTGCATTTTTATTTGGTTGAGAGCTTAAATAATAGTTTATTTCAATGTTTTGTTGTACTCATGAGAGGTGGGGAGGGGCGGTACGATTGGGCCTTCATTGTATCTTGGATTTTATTCGAATAAAGGGGAGATTTTTTTTTTTTTTTATGGAAACAAAATTAGGGGAAGGGGAGGAGGTACTTTTGCGGGGGAGATTCTTAATAAGTTCTGTTTGGAAACTACTGTAGAATCATTTAATGCACTCTTCTGATATTAAGATTAGCTTAAGACTATCTTCCTTCGTTTGAAATTGGAAATGTAGAAAAACATGTTGTGTGAAGGTTTAAAATGTGAAATAAACACCTATGTGCATTAAGGTTGGTATGGTAAAATTGGAATGTTCAATTTAGGTGCCAGGTGATACCACGATTTGTTCTTTGGGGGATTTAGCAAGGCCGGGTACTTAAATAAAGTCTCCTTAGAAAAATTATGATTTTGAGGTCTTATAATAATCTGTCCTGGATACTGATCATTCTTGGTTACCCAGGCCCTTAGCATTTGGGACCCATTCCTAATGAGACTTAACCTGCTTTTCTAGAGAGTCAGCCATTATTCCTAAGCTTGGGCTGGGTGCTGTGAAGGCTGCAAGACAGAAGGACCTGAGATGTTTAGGCTGTTCAACAATTTTGTGTTGCACAGTTGGGGGATATGAGTTGGCAAGTGGTTTTCCTGGGAGCTGTTGTAAAAGACAGCAGGGAAATACCGCTGGTGGTTTCGTCTAGCAACAGGTTCTTCCGATATTGAAATCCTGTGCATGTTCCCGTTACCCCCCAGTGATGCCTTCTTTCTTTCCTTTTAATTACCTCTGAATAGAAATTACCAAATCTGTTCATTTTAGTGCTTGTCTGATACACATAGTATAACAAATGAGCAAGTGCTTGTTTCAGTCTGCTTAAAAACCTTTAACCAGCAGATAGAATCACCAGATCTCTACCATAACGTCGGACAGCATTACTGTCACACAGATCCTGTGTCCCCCTCAGACTGAAATACTCCCTTCTCCCATTTTTCCTTCAGGAATTCACTTCCTCTAGGTTCTCTCAGTCAGAATTAATGAACTTCCTCCTGTCTGTGCCTGCAGTACCTCCAGCCAAGCACTCTTTCTCTGCCTGTATTATATTAACCTTCATGCTCCTCTAGGCAGATGCTCATTGGGTATCTACTGTATGCCGGACTCTGCTGGCCATTGCTGTTACTAAAGCTGAGTAGATTGAGGTCCAGACTGCCTGGGTATGAATGTCAGCACTCTCTTCTTACTGTGTAATTTTGGGGAAGTTATTTGACATCTGTGAGCTTCAGTTTTCTCCCATTTAAAATGGGCTTTAGAAGCAGTTGTGAAGTATATCACACTTGCTGGATGCAGTGGCTCACCTGTAATCCCAGCATTTTGGGAGGCTGAGGCAGAAGGATCAATTGAGCCTAGGAGTTCAAGACCAGCCGGGGCAACAAAATGAGACCCTATCTCTAGGAAAAAAAAAAAAAAAAACAGTTGGGTGTTTACATGAGTAGCCTGTACACATGTACACATGCCTGTAATCCCAGCTACTCAGGAGACTGAGGTGGGAGGATCACGTGAGCCCTGGAGGTTGAGGCTGCAATGAGCCATGATGGCCAATGCACACCAGCCTGGGCAAAAGAGTGAGACTCTTGTTTCACACACACACACACACACATACAAATAAGGGGGCGGGAGTTGCTGAAGAACAATGCTGGGAGACAGAGTACTGTCTTGAGGATGAAGGAATTAATGTCTGTAAAGCAGGCCTGACACACAAGTGCTCAAGCTGGTGCATTTCCTCTATTGGATCATTAGCTTGAGAGCAAGGCCTGGGTCCAGGTTATGGGTACCTCTCTCAGTGCTGCCTGGTGCAGGAGGTGACTGTATCGTCATCCTACCCCTCCTTAGGGTTTTTGTGTACAGTAGGTCTCTGACCATTGTTTCCCAATCGCATCATGCTGGGAGCAGATACGCTGGGTTGAGTGCTCATAAATCACTGATGAGTTGTATTAAAGAAATGTGTTGGTGGAGAAGTTTGAGATAATGGAACTGTAAAGCATGTTTCCTGAGGCCCATTGAGTTTTCCAGTGCATTCTACAGATACATACTGTTATTTAAATTTTTTTATTTTTTGTTTTAATAGCTTTTGGGGTACAAGTGGTTTTGGGTTACATGGATGAATTGTATAGTGGTGAAATCTCAGTTTATCGTGTCCCAGTCACCTGAGTAGTATACATTATTTACTGAATTAAACTCCTTTGCCCCTTGTTCCCTAGGAAGGAGGGAATTGCTTTGCCATAAGATGGCATTTCTTCATGTCCTTCCATCTGCATATCTTCATCCCCTGCCCTGGAGCATGAGAATGTAGAGGTACAAACTGGAAGTTCAGGATAACCTCCCTCAGGGGTTCACAGTAGGGTGAGGGGCCGGACACGATGGCTCATGCCTGTAATCACAGCACTTTGATTTTTCTTTTTCTTTCTTTCAAATCCTTTCTTTTCTTTCTTTCTTTTTAAATGAAGTCTCACTCTGTTGTCCAGGCTGGAGTGCAGTGGCGCAGTCTCGGCTCACTGCAACTTCTGCGCCACCGTGCCCAGGATCCCAGCACTTTGGGAGGCCAAGGCAGGTGGATCACTTGAGGTCAGGAGTTTGAGACCAGTCTGGCCAACATGGTGAAACCCTATCTCTACTAAAAATGCAAACATTAGCTGGGCCCAGTGGCACACGCTTATAATCCTAGCTACTTGGGAGGCTGAGGCATGGTATCGCTTGAACCCAGGAAGCGGAGGGTACAGTGAGCTGACATCGTGCCACTGTACTCCAGCCTGGGTGACAGAGCGGGACTCTGTCTCGAAAGAAAAACAAAATAGGGTGGGGCCCAGAGACAGAGAGTAGATGGTTATTGGAGGCTGGGAAGGGTAGTAGGGGGTGGGAGGGAGGTAGGGATGGTTAATGGGTATAAAAAAATAGAATGAATTAATAAGACCTAGTATTTGATAGCACAACAGGGTAATTATAGTCAATAATAACTTAATTGTACATTTAAAAATAACTAATAGTATGATTGGATTGTTTGTAACACAAAGGATAAATGCTTGAGGGGGATGGCTAACCCATTTTGCATGATGTGATTATTTCACATTGCATGCCTGTACCAAAACATCTCTTGTACCCCGGAAATATATGCACCTGCTACCTACTATGTAGCCACAAAAATTAAAAATTGTAAAATAAGAAAGAAAAGTAGGGTGGGCCCGAGTAGCAAAGGCGTTGGGTCCCCAAGAAATCGGAGTTCTTCATCCTTTTTCAAAGTTGTGTTTAAAACCATTTTTGAATGCTTTAATCCTAAAATTGTTCAGATCACCGGGCGCGGTGGCTCACACCTGTAATTCCAGCACTTTGGGAGGCTGAGGCAGGTGGATCACGAGGTCGGGAGTTCAAGACCAGGCTGGCCAAGATGGTGAAACCCCGTCTCTACTAAAAATACAAAAATTAGCCAGGTGTGGTGGCAGGCGCCTGTAATCCCAGCTACTCGGGAGGCCGAGGCAGGGACTTGCTTGAACCCGGGAGGCGGAGGTTGCAGTGAGCCAAGA